CTCCACTAATGACATAAGGAACCTAGGGCAATCAGCTTGCTAATTTAGACGTGCCAGTTAAGTGCCTAAAGTTGAATGAATACAAGCAAAGTGCCTTTGAGTTAGGCACTGAGTGTCTGACCCTTGAGACACCCAAGTTTCTTTACACAATGCACAGTGGTTACACTAATTACATGGGTCTCTAAATACAGTACTCAGAATAAAATAAATTGAGCTGTAAAATGAGTTTTCAGAGAAGCAGTAAATGCACCCCACTAACACTGTTATACTGCAATGCTGTTAAGGGGAGGAAAACCAAGGCCCAGAAACCCAAAAATCTTCACATTAATAGCTTGTTTATGCACCACACATGAAGTTTTGTCAGTCTTTTATAACTGGTGCTCTGTAAAGCTTCCCAGTTCCAGTACATGAATTATTCTGGAAAGAGATTCTGTGGCCCTTTCATAGAAACACCTGGGAAACTGGAAGACTATGAACATGCAGATAGCCCTGCCAGCTCAGACAAAAAGACTGCCTAGCACAGTGTTCTGCTCTCCAACAGCACCCATAAGCAGATGTTCAAGAAAGAGTAAGACCAGGGAAGTATAAATAGTACCCTCTTGAGTATTTCTCAGCATCTATTTTCAAGGTCCTCCCATGGCGGACCTCTCCAAGTACTTGTCCATCTCTCCCCTTGAACTTTTTTGCATCTACAATCTCTTTTGACAAGGAGTTCCACAAATCTACCACCTGCTGCAGTAACAGCAATCTTTTTGTGGTCTCTGCAGCTGTCTCCTGCTAACCTCAGTGGGTGGCCCTTTAGTCTTGGCCACTAAGAGACAGTCACCTCCACCCCAAATCATTCACAACTTAAGAGTCACAACTGTCCACATGTAAAGTCACAGCTGTCGACATTTAGACTAGATATAAGGAAGAAATTTTTTACGCTGAGGGTGGTGAAACACTGGAATGACAGGTTGCCCAGAGAGGTGGTTGTCGTGGTTTAACCTCAGTCGGCAACTGAGCACCACGCAGCCGCTCGCTCACTCCCCCACCCCAGTGGGATGGGGAAGAGAATTGGAAGAGCACAAGTGAGAAAAACTCATGGGTTGAGATAAAAATGGTTTAATAATTTAAATAAAATAATAATAAGGTAATAATAATAATACACAAAGCAAGTGATGCACAGTGCAACCGCTCACCACCTGCCGACTGATGCCCAGCCAGTCCCCGAACAGCAGCCCCCCCAGCCAGCTTTCCCCAGTTTATGTACTGAGCATGACGTCCCATGGTATGGAATGTCCCTTTGGGCAGTTTGGGTCAGCTGTCCTGGCTGTGCCCCCTCCCAGCTTCTTGTGCACCTCCAGCCTTCTCAGTCGGTAGAGCATGGGAAGCTGAAAAGTCCTTGGCTAGTGTAAGCACTACCTAGCAACAACTGAAACATCGGTGCGTTATCATTATTCTCATCCTAAATCCAAACCACAGCACTGTACCAGCTACTAGGAAGGAAATTAACTCTGTCCCTGCCAAAACCAGGACAGTGGCGGATGCCCCATCCCTGGAAAAATTCAAGGTCAGGTTGGACGGGGCTCTGAGCAACCTGGTCTAGTTGAAGATGTCCCTGCCCACGGCAGGGGGGTTGGACTAGATGACCTTTAGAGGTCCCTTCCAACCCAAACTATTCTATGATTCTATGAAAGAGTGCTTGCTTACCTAATCATTCCCCATAGGGAAACTATTCCAGTCTCAAAGATCCTCATAAGTAAAAGCTCTACGCATACAAAGAAATTTTTTTGTGTATTGCAAACTGGAGTAAAATTAAATGTGATACAAATACAGAAATGTATTTTATATTCACCAGCCACAGAAACACAATTAAAAACCCTACTGCATATCTCTTTAGAATTAAATAAAACCCAATGCTTTACTCACCCCTCATTTTAACTAGTGTTTATATAATGATTTTACAGTCTTGGAAAAATCTGTTTTTTAAAGACCTGACTTATTTTTCAGACATGAAATTCACACAAGAATTAATAGCTTAAAACCCTACGCAAGCACCTCCCAGTTCAGAGTATGATGTGGGGAAAAAAAGCACATATCTACAAGCTAAGTAGAATTTTTAACTGTGGAAATTGGTTATTCAAACGAGAAAAATCCCCAATTCACATTCATTACCAGAATTCACATCAATTGGCAAACAAATCTATTGTTCCAGTACATTCAGAAGCCAGTACAGGCCACAAGACTGAAAAAATCTTAGTCATTGGGTGACAAAAAGGTTCCCCCAGATTCTCCACAGTCAGAGGAGCCCACAACTGGCAACAGCAACCACAGACATCTGACTGCATGTACCACAGTAAAAAAGCCTGGTCAAAAACAGTAAAGTAGTCAAGAGCATCAGGAGAAAGTGGTTCCTATAGAGAACACTAGCTGATTTACTACAATCTCAGATGACAAGCAGTAGTTCCAAATGCCAAGGATCTGTGGAAGCGGACCTCAGTGAAACACAAAGTGAACAAACAAACACAGGTCCCTCTGATATAGCAACACGTCTGAAGTCTAAATGTCCTCAGACACGCCCACCATATAGATTGTTCAAATGGATGACCACGTAGACGATGAAAGTGCTTTGCCAAGGGTTGCAGGTCCCTTGTCCCCACACACACACCCCAGCATACAGCATTGACACTAACAACATAGTGCTCAGTAGCTCATACAGCACCTGCATAGTAAGCTGGTCAGTATTTCGACAACAGAATTCTTTTGAAAAAAATAAAGTGTATTTTCAACCAAAATAATTACATTTGTTTTAGTTCACTCTTGTTAGAACTGGACAATATATGGAAAAAAAAATTCCATTTTTTAAAACATCTACGTTTGAATTAGAACATTTTCTACAAAACTGACACTGCCATTAAAAAGCTTTTTAAACTACCTTCTTCAATTTTCACTCCCACATTTATAAATCAAATTAAAACCTCCTAAAATGTCCCACAAAAAACATTCTGATTTTTCTTACAACCTTAATGAAGTACCCAATCCTTTGCAGTGGTGACAGCAGCGCATCAGGTGACAGTCCCAAGGCTTCAGAGTGCACAGGCGTGTTTTCTGTATCAACGCATTCTCCTGATGCACACTCCTTCCACTGCTGTAGCTAATGCTGTTTTGCCTCTTCCCTCAGAAAATTCTTTAATACTACTGCAAAATCACTATCATAGGAAGACTACAGTGTTTTCGTTTTTAGTCTTTCTGTTCACCTGCCAGACTGTTGTCCCTAATCTTCCATTTTCCAGTAAAAAAATAAAATTCACTCCTTCAGGTTAAAGACAGTACTAGCACATGCTTAAACTTAGTGATCTTGGTGTTCGCTGAACTGGGAACAAAGATACCTATGTTCATATTCAAATCAAATTTTCAAAAATATTTATGTCACTGATAGAGTTTTGAAATGTTCGTTATTATATTTACCTTAAATAAATTTAACCTTATTATAGCATAACAAACTTTGCAAATTATTTCCTATAGTATCATTACAGAATAACTGAAGTTTTCAAGCCATTTTTCATATTAACTCAATAATTTTACTACTACTTGATGAAAAAATACAATTTTACTTGTGACTATTCCTCCTGTTCTTTTCCAAAGAGATCCAAACGTGGAACATACTCATTTCCAATGAGATTTTTTTAAAAGATATGCCACAGCATAATGATAATGCATATAGCATGTTGAGTTGAAAGACCGTATGTTGCAATTGTGATAGATATTCTGAAGCAGATACGGTCACTACTGCCTGCTGCTACCTGGCATCCTCAGTAAACTACCTGAAGCAATGATCGGAGTCCCACCGTTAGTCCTTTATATTCAACGGCAAGTTTTTGATTATTTCTTTCCTTCTAAATTTTTGGCACCGGTAAGTCTATAACTTCCTTTATGAAATCACCATTACATACCTGAAGCCAGGTATGAAAGGACACACACAAAGCCTGATGCATGTGCCATGTTTAACCGATCTGCATATTTCTCCAGGAGAACAATGCCTGTAACCCATCATTTAAAGACGACAAGAAACAAATGCCACAAAATTCTTATAAAAAATTCATGCAACACCCAGATAATTACTTTATCTATCTCCTACACTATTAGCTGTAAGACTAATAAAGCTACTCAGCAGGCAAGGGATTCAATGAAATATACCCTGAGTTCCTGGGAGGATCGCCTGTGGTTCCAACTCTAACGCTTCTGATCAAATACAAGCTCTCTTCCCACTGCTGAGCAACAGGCTTTTCTGGATCTTGATCAAACATGCTCCAAAGGAGGGAGGGTGTAATAATATGGTGTAAAGTATTCAAGTGTGTAGGAGAACAATTGATTGTGGTGAAAGGGAGGAGGAGACGAAACTATTTAAGAAATCATAGAAAGTGACTTTCTTTTACATTCAGGTCACTTGAGCAGCAAAACAAGTTCACAGCAATTCTTTCAATAAGCAACAATACAGTTAAGCATATGTACTAATCATCATTAATAAACCACGTAAGCCAGCACAAAAACATACTGCCTTGCACTGTTACAGGTTCCCAGTTCCCACAAATATTTTCAATTCTGTTCCCCATCTAAGGCTGAGGCATCAAGATACAAATACTACAGAACAAACATCTCCCAGTGGCTATCTAATGAAAGTAAGGACCAAAATAAACAGCATCAAAAAATGCCAACCCATTTATCAGTGAAAGGTCTCAAGTTCTCTTCCTAGAGTCCAACTGCCTAACAAACCTAAGTACTGTCTGCTTCCTGCTGCTTTCAGTGAAAGGCTGGAAAGGAGACAACTGGACTTCCCTTCCTCTGCAAGGAAGAGATGAAAAATTCCTTACTTAGTGATCCTTCTAAAAAAACATTCCTTCTTAACCCAAACATTTCTTACCTTGAAATCTAGTACATTCCAGTCTTAAATCTACTTTCAAAAAGCTGACTTAATCTCCCGTCTCTGGGTGAACTTCATGTTCTAGGGGAAATCTTACCTAATTTTGGCAGGGAATAGGGCACTTTAAAATAATCTTCATAAAATTCAATGAGTCTCCTTGTAATATTTAGAGCATAGTCCCCCGATCCTCTTCGTATTGCATCAGGCCTTGCATATAACCGCACCTGTTAAAAAACAAAGCGAAAGACTGATCATTTCAGCATCTACATTTTAAAGCTATCCTACCTGCAGAGATGAACTATTCTAAGGTTGTTGTGAGGTGGCAGGATTATTCTCTTAAAGCCAAACGTGACTGTCGTATGTTTGTCAAAACATGTCATAGCTGAAAACCAGAACTTCCACGATTAAGGTTACAAAGGTGAGAAGTCACAATCTCTTACTTGTTTGTGTCGCCAAATAAAAGACTTAACACTCCTTGCATCAAAATAAATATTCAAAGAAAACACTTACATGTGTTTGCTAGAGATATGATGGGAGAGTGGATTAGTATAATGGTTCTCTGCCTACACTGAATGTAGGCAGGATGCAGTGGCTCAGTAGGAGAGAAGTTCACGGTTTGTTAAAGGCACATTATATTGAGCCCTGAAAGTATTAGTAGACTGTGGAGAAAAAAAAAAAAAATCATTCTCTTCTTTTCCCTGACAGTGACACAGTTACCCTCGATGAGCTATGGAAGACTGCAAAAACAACCATTTATAAGCTCATTCATGTACACAAACAATTAACATCCCTGAAACCTCCATGACTGCTTCAGGCCTCTGTTTTCAGAAAGCAGTAAGTTAAAGCTGTTTATACAAGCCTCAGACTGCTGTGTTCAGTATAAAACAGCTCACACATCTGACTACATGGAGCACCCTGGTGAACAGAACTCACCTTCGTAATTCAGCATCCAAGTGTGACCAGCTCCCGAGGCAGCAGAAAGCACCGCCACGTTATTCATTATTCCCTGTCCTTACAGTCCTTAACGCTTCCTTAGTACAAAGATGACATGCAGCTAATGAGAACTGTTAACCAAGAACGGGATAGAAAGGAGAGGCACTTTTTGCTCTCCCTCCTCATGCACAGTCTGGTGGACACGTAGCCAAGGGGAAGCAGTGTGTGCTTTGTCTCTAGCGGCTGTGGCAGAAGGTCTCTCCCTGAAGTACACAAAGACCTGATACAAACAAGACTCTACTAAATGTCAGTCCCAGTAATAATATCTGACTTGCTAATACTTTCTGTGGCAGGATTAAATCCCAGCCAGGGTTCGAGGAAAGCAGCAGGGCAGAAATCAGAAAATATCAGTGCAAACATGAAGCAGAAATATCAGTTTTGAAATGTTTCTAAATGCTCTATTCTGGACCAAGAAAAGCCAATGGGATTTTCGGCTTCAGTGAAAACATTACCAAGTATTGCTTTACTGCTCTGTTCCTGAACCAGTTCAGTTACCCGAGTGGAAACCAGGTATCAAACCTCGGTACACTGTACCTGTCAGTTCTGTTTTAAGCCACTATCTCTTTGTTTTCAGTATTTAGACACATTAGTCTGCTTTGTTACTATGTCCATCTTTATATTTTTATCTTCATGTTGTATTAGACTCAGTGCACAATCAACCATACATAGTTATCATTTGTAATGTAAAACAGATAACACTGTAACCTAATGAGACATGTAATAAAGCAGACTTCTCATAATCACCACCTGAAAGCATATAAACCATTATCTGAACACTTCCAAGTCACTATTTTTGTTTATTGCTTCCTTCCAAAGTTAACAGTGATGTGTACATTAAATGTTCCCTTATCTGCTAAACTAAATATATTTAAAAAAAGATATTAACCGCAGAGATCCTAATTCAAACATCTCAAAACCTTTAGTTTATGGAAGGATGGTAAGAATCACAGATTTGTGATGAACATTGTTTTGTATCATTAAACCTTTATACACAATTTTGCATAATTGCTTTACTGGCACAGTTGACTGTATCAGCAAATTAGCAAAAAAAGAGTCAGCCAACCAAGTATGCAAAAAGTCATTCAATTTGACAGCGGCCGAATGTGTCCATAATAAGGAACAGGACAACAGAAGGGAAGAAAAAAATAGGTACATAGAAGAAAAATCAAGGTTCAACTTACTGCATTACAACGTGTGCCTTTTGGCAAATGCAGAAAAGGCATTTAATGGTGTCAGAGATGGAGCCCGGGTACCAAAGCTCAAAAACCACAATGCTGCGAACTTTCATTTGCCACCTGCCTAATGCTGAATATAGTTTTATTTTGCCTGTGAAGTTCCCCCGGGTGCCTCTCTGCCTGCCTAGAACAGCTCCGGACTGCCAGGGCTGCGTGGCTCACACCGAGGTCACCCCTAAGCTGGAACACAGTTCAGAAACTACCCGTGCCTTTGCCCAGGTCTCTCAGGGCCTTTGAGGCAACAGGCATTGCCGAAGCACGCCAGCCATCTTCAAATGCCGGGTCTGCTTCTGCCTTTCACCCAACAACCACTGAACGTGACATGTATGGAGGAACCTTAGAGGCACCACCGCAGACTTACACCCCTGGCCTCAGCAAACTCCCTCTTGGTTAGCAGAGGGCTACCGCAGGGGACAGTCTGTGACACTGCCTACCCGGCTGGCTGTTTTGGATGACACCTTCTCAGGTGTTATTCACAGTGTAAGGAGCTTGGTCCAGAGTTCAGTCTAAAGGCTGGCACTTATAAGCTTGAAATTGAAGCCCCTAACTTTCACACACCGATGTCCTTTAATGTGTATGGGCTTATCTTGACCATGTGTTACCCCCAAGTCCATAAAATGGGGATTATATTATTTCCTTAAATTATATGAACATTCTGAGTATTAAGTAATAAAGACTGTAATAAAGAAAGTTTTCAGACACTGCTCCAAAGCACCGCTTAAGTAAATAAAACACAATGAAGATTAAGACATGAGGTTTGTTTAGCATCATTTTTTTGTTTGTTTAGTGCTTTCATTTCAAAAGGCAGATAGGTTGTGTTACTTTATGCTGGACTGAACAAGAATGCGTAATTATTATCTACTTTCCCACAGGCTATTTGATCACTATACTAAGAATTTGATTTTAAATTAATTTAAATAAGAGAAAGAACAGAAAATCTTCTGCAGGGTCAGACCTAAATATCAATAAAAGTATTACGTGTTCTCCTACAAAAGATAAAGAGGTTTCTAGCTTAGGTGCATAATTCGTCACCCACTGCAATGGCACCTACTGCCCTGCAAATATTAGTGAAGCTCTTCTTCATAATCTTTGCAAGATTAGGTTATACTATTATTTTCATGTAAGAAAGTGGAGAACAAAGAGAGACTGAGACTAATTCTGGGTGCCTATCTTGACAACTCTCAATGTCAAGTATACCTAACGGTTTTATTGCACGCACTTAAAGCACTGTTCCGATTATATCTTATTGCAGTGGTGAATACTTTATACAGCTTTGAGTCTGCTCACAGGTGCCTTAGTTTGGATATTAAGAAAATCAGTAACGCACAATTAGTGACTAAATGAGACCATGTCAGTTTATGTGATTTGCTCGACATCTCATAGCAATTCTGGTAGCAGAGGCAGGGAGGTAATTCAAAGATGGCACTCAGCCTCGCAGCCACCTGACAGCCTGCACCAAGCATCTTCCACGTTTGGGAATTAATAAGGTAGGGACTGTTCAGACAACAGGCATATTCGCAGCACACTGGTGGTGTCCTGACGCAGCATAGTTCCCTGTGTGCCTAAATGACAAAAATACCAGAAAAATATTATGAGGGATCATATTAGTAATGACACTGTCATAACACCTATGAATATAACAAAGTGAACCTAAATTCTGGGGTTTTTTTCTTAACTCCTTTGCATCCATTACTATTTGCAACCATTACCAATCTTTCAACAGAAGTTCTGACTACTAAGAAAAAAAAATCCAAACCTCTCATTTCTCTCTCAAATGGAACCAGACTGACGGTCTCCTTCCTACCACAAGTTTGAGTAACTAGGTTTGCAGCTTCAGCCCTACAAACCAGAGCTCCCCTTTGACATGTATAAGACGCTTTTGTTCTTAGACTGCACAGCCACTGATGGAGGAGACCAGATACACTTTGCTAGAAATCATTTTCACTTCTGTTAACAGCAGAGCAAGAAGTTATTAGAGATCCTAAATGAAGTCACTGCAGTGTATATTTTCTCATTCTTTTCTAAAGTGAGCAGAAATGTGAGCTGTATCCCCTTGCTTCCTTTCCAGAAGCCCTGGACTACTTTCATTAGAACTTTAAATCAAGACAATACAATAGCCACACTCAGATACCACGACAAAAAAAATCATCCTGAAGGATTAATTTAAAAATATTAGTAACCTAACTCAAGTTCTTAGAATGACTTTGGCAGCATTATCAGATAAAATACTAAAATATTCCTGGAACTTGTATGGTAAATTCCACGTATTTGTTATAAGTGATCAGTACTCTACTTCTCTGTAGTTAGTCAAAAGTATTTGCTGTACAAAAAGTGTATTTTCACAAATAATTTGTACATATTGCAACACCTTCTGTAGTCTCTCAATATTTCAGCATTTGTTACATAAAATAAGTCAAAGTAATTTAAAAATTTTGTAATACCAGGTCACCAGAACAGATGAATGTGATTGTAAAATGAGCACTGTTTCCCATAGGGAGGGACAGTTGTGATACATGCTGAGAAATGTGCAACAGATTTAGAACAAATCACATCTAACTAAAGTCAGGTTATTAACTACTGTGCATCAGAAAATCTTCTTGTCTACAGTAGGTAAAAATTATTCATCAAAAAGAAAGTTAGCACTTAAAAAGAAAAAAAGATAGTTTTTCTTGTCTTATTACTTCAGAGTGTTTCACAAAAATGTGAATTACTAACTATATACAAGGTACAATGGGTAAATTCTCACAAGTACAAACTGTAAATAGAAATGAACATCTTAATTTCTGGTGAGTAGTATGTTCACTAAAAATGTTTCCACTGTACCAAAGACTGTGATAATTTCAGCACATCATAAACAGAGGAATGGGTTCAGAAAAAGTAGAACTATTCTATTCTAACATTTTAAAATCACGACTTTTTTTTTTCTTTTTTTGGCATTAAAATTGAGTACATGAAAAAAAGAAAAGGATGAAAGGGATGAAGAAGGGTAAGGAAAA